TGTTTGATGCCAAAATCTGTAGTAATAAGGAAATTTAATAGTTAGAGAATTTTAGAAGAGAAACATTTTTTGTAGCTAGCAAACATTGTTCCAGATTTAAACATATCACACCTTAGAACTATTGTGATGTTGAACGTCGTCATAATAATAATAATGATAATAATAATAATAATAATAATAATAATAATAATAATAATAAAATCCTCGCGGAGTACGTAGATCGCACTCTGTAACAAGCCCTAGGATCCCATTTCTAGGAATTTTGCTCATTTCGTAGATAAGTTGAAGTAATGTAAATCTAACCTAATTCTAGAAGCTTATGATGTTAGATCTTTAGTTAAGTTTAGGTACTAACTTGTGCTAAGAATGTAAGATGTAAACCTAATACATAAGCATTGCCAAATGCCAAATGCTAATGGATCTAAATAGAAGGTTTGTTCTTTCTTATATTTTCCAAATATTTTCAGGTCAATTCGTATGTGTTAAGTAATCCATTTGTTATAGGTTCATTTTGCACTGTGACGTCAACAATCATTTATTGACACTGTGTTGATGTCTATTACGTTTACAACTTCTTGTACAGGGTCTTTACATTCACAACTTATTATTGTCAATATTACAAGAAGAAATGGTAACTAATGAGCGCACACATGATATAAATGAAACCTTCAGCAGTTCAGCTAATTTTCTCCCATGAAGAATTAATAACGGGGAAAATAGAAGATGCATAGGGTGCCAAAATTAATTTATTATTATTATTATGATTATTATTATTATTATTATTATTATTATTATTTTGCCCACAAAGCCGCCATCAATTAATTAATGATGGAGATGGCTAGCAGGCGAAAATGAAATCATCCGTTGTCACAATTATAGGAAAGGGATTGATTGAATGTCTGCCCTAATAATGCTTATGGCAAAAATATAGTACTGTTATTTTTTGTTTGTTCATATTGATTGGTATTTTAGTTAATAATAATAGGTTGACTGCAGAAAATTTCTTTCCCTCTCTTTCCAATTGAAGAAAAAAATTTCTTCCCCCTCTTTCCCCCTGTATATTCATGATGCTTATATTTGTAACGTTATGATATATTTTTTAAAAACAACCATTAAAGTTAATATCGCTGTTCGTATTTCTCATTTGATTCACGTGAACCTAGATTTAAGGCAGTGTTCCGTTTTTTCTTTTTTTTTTTTCTTGATTAGTCGAATAAATTGACGTATTTTACACTTTTTTTTTTCTCCTTGCTTACATCTTTGACGACCATACTGATAAATAAAGAGTTTAATTGCAGTCTTGGTACTCTTTACTTTGCTATTAGAAAAAGTGAAAAAGAAAGAAAGAAAGAAAGAAAGATAATCGATAATCAGCTCCGGCTGATTGATTGCAATTGGCACAGAAAGTAACTGGCAGTCTGGCACATAAAGTTGGCTTTAATGGTATTAAGCAAGGGAAATAGTCGTCTCTATTTGTTTCGTGAATTTTATTTTGATTTTTAAAAATAATCTTCACACGAAGCCTTAATGAGATACAGTGTTCCCTCAATTGATGCTGATGACATTTTAGAGATTAAAAAAAACAAACCATCAGTTTTATTAATAATAATGATAAAAAACCAAGTAATTAAAGTTACTTTGTTTAATCTCCACTTAGCCTTTAGAGTACTCTACTAGTGAAAATTATACAAAATGATAGTTCAGCAGGGTTCGATCACTTTTTTTCTTTTTTTCTTTTTTTTTTCTTGAACTGTTTATTATTCTCTTTGTTCTAAAAAAAAATAGTTCACATTATGATTTAACATATTGTATTATTAAATTACAATGTGGTTATCTTTCGAAAACGGAGGGAGTTTTTTTTTTAAAATTTTTTTGATTAATATATTTTCCATTTCATTTTTTTCCCCCAAAAAATTGGAAGAAAATCGACCATCTCATATTTGTTTTTCGTTTTCAGTATTTTTTTTTCACATGATCAGTAAAGCATTGGCACTAATAAGACGTTTCAAACAGAGAAATGATTGATCCAAATCCATGCCAGTTGACTTTTTGATTAAGCAAAGAGATGAATAAAAAATGACTTTGATCAGTAGTACTCCCTTTCTCAACTTTTGGTCCGGTTTATTATACTAGTTTAGTTGAACAAAATAAAACTGTTGTTTATTGAAAAATCTGTTTTAATATGATATTTTAATTCAACAAAATTAATTATTTTTTGTACCATCAGTCCTCTTTCTTCTCTGCTTTGTCATACAAAACAAATTTCTCAGCAAGCCAGCCACCGGCCGAGAAGTATTTCGGCAGGACAAGTTGAACTGAAATTAAAACCTTTAATCCACCATGAAATATAATTACGTATAGTGTCTTTTAAATAGATTAATTAATCAATTACAATGATAATTTTGATTATTTACAGGATATAACATTCTAGCTTATGACCTAACATTTATGGAATTTCATTACTCTGATGGGCCAGATTATTGTTTCGAAAATATCTCGAGTTAAGTATTCCTCCAACCAAAAAAAAAAAAAAAGAGGTGCAATTTCTAAAATAAAATATCACAATTAATGGATATTTGAAAAATGGTAATTAATATAAAATTAATAAATTGATACTCCCTTTGTCCCAAAATTATTGTCTAGTTTAAATTTTCACTTTTAGTTCAATTTGTACTAAAATGAAAACTCAAACTGGACAATAATTTTGGGACGGATGGAATATTATACTCTATTAAAACTTTGTGCGCTAGTTTCTTAATTTGATGAACGATTGAGTCATCTAATTTACAAATTTAAGTTTTTCTAATTTTGTTTTAGATGGAAGGAATATTGAATAAATAAGATGAATAATTATTGGAATATTGACAACAAATACTTCAAAAAAAAAAAAGAAAAGAAGAAGTTGGCACATCTCTGTCAAAAAAAAAAAGAGAGTAGAAATTAGTGGTCGGTTGTATAAAAAAATGAGTAGAAATCTGTTTTCGTTCTAATTCAAATTATATTAAAACTGGACGACCCAAATTGAATAATCATTTTGAGACAAGAGGAATATGTAATTATGGTATACAAAATTCACCTCTCATGATATTTGTGAAAGTATTTGGAACCTTAGATTGTAGGTTTACCGATACCCTCCCACATATGAAACCTTCAATATGTAACCTTTGGCATTCGAAAACATGAAGAATGCGAATGAATGCTGTCGATAGGGTGTTTGGGATACAATAATTAGAGAAAGATGTATAGTTCATATATGATTATGAAAATTTAAGGAAAAAAAATTGTATTTTTGACATTGATGATCATATTGTTATGATCGTTGACCCAATCGGAAATTATGGATCTATTGTTTGAGATGCGGATACCTTGTTGAAATTGTAATACTACTAGTCGAACATTTTGTTTTCATATCAAATATCAATTCTTAGGAGCAACTAGTTCCGCCATTTTGCGATTGAAACACACAATTCAATCAAATTTGTCTATTATTACTTCTTTTCATCCAACGTTTGTTATATAATAGCTGTGCAATTTGATAAAGATTTATATTTTAAGTACCAATGATTGAAGTTTATTTATCCTTAAAAGATAAAAAAAAAAAACCATATTTTACGGTTAGTGTTGGTATGCTGTATGTACATGTAACTAACTCTAGTGTAGAACATATGCTCTTAAAGTAATAATTATTGTAGAGAAAATTAACAAGAATAATATATAAGGAATGAATCATAACCGTTTATAGTTTAAACTTATCTTTACAAATTTATTTATTTAAGCATTAGGGGAAAGTAAAGACTACCATATTATTCCCTCTAAATTTTTCATGCATATATTAACACTCCTATGCTTAATCGGGGCACTACTATCGAAGTGCATACATAACGTATCATTGAGCTATGTAATCAAGCAATCAAATCATCGAAGACAAAAATTAAATTTCATTACACAATTATCAAAGGTTACGTGTCAAAAGTTTTAAAGTGTTGGTTTTAGAAAATCAAAGGTTGATTTGATGATACTTTCTTTCCCTGAACGTAGGTAGGGTTTAACCTCTTTTCTTTCGATAGTCCTCCAGAACCGAAGACGATACATTATGTCATGTGTTAAGATGCGAGTGGAGGATACGATAAAATGTTAAAACTTACTATCTCTGTCTCAAAATTATTGTCCAGTTTGCGATTTCACATTTAGTATAATTTGAACTAAAAATAAAAACTCAAACTAGACAATAATTATGGGACGGAGAGAATATAAAAAAGACCGCTTTATATGCAGTGAAAATTTGATTAGACCTATGGTTAAAAAAAAAAAAAATCAACTCAAGTTAACCATTAAACCTCTCCCCAAAAAGCCTATCCGACTCGATATCTGATCCGGAGTCACTGAATGCGTTTCCCAAGAAATATAATCGAGGCCTTGTTTTTTGCAGTGGAATAGAAAATAAATGAAAAAGATTCGTTTATCGAATTTCTTGCTCAGATTAGTAAACTTAATGAATCAGTATCTATCCAAAGACAGCTAGCACTAGCAATGTAGCACCTTCGAGAGAGAGACAAAGACAGATACACCTAGCAGTAAAATAATAATTAAATGATTTTTATCTTATTTCTTTCGTTAACGACTCTTTCTTTCGTTAACGACTCTTTCAATGAAATTTTAAAATTAAAATTAAAAATCCCTAATGACTGTTCAGCGAAGAATAATCTAAGTGGGAGAAGAAAAATTAAAAGAACTTAGAAGACAAAAGTGACCTTGCTCTTAAAAAGTCTTGCAGAAATATAGGTTGCTCAGAAATTAAGCTACATTTTCTTTCTTTCTTTTTCTCCCAAAAATATGATAATCCATTCTAACTTTAATATTTTCTCTATTCTATCCAATTGTTAGCAGCTCTTAGATTTTAGAACTTCCCGGAGGAAAAAATAAAAAAGAGAAAAGAAAGAAAGAAATTCAACTTTAGTTAACTAATTTAATTTGTAGCAAGAGCCAACAAACTATTTGCCATTGTTTTTGGTTATGTTCCGTTGTAAGGTTTAACATTCATAAAGTGCACTATTTTGTGGGATAAAATGAATTTTATTTGTTAATTAGAGATAGACTTTTTGGATTGGAATCGGAGATAATAGGGAAAAAAAAAGAAAAAGAAAAGACTTTTTATGATCATGAAGAGTCAATGACTAAAATACTAATATTTGGAATTAAACTCGTCTTACTTGGGTGGCTTGCAAGGGTTAGATTGAAACTGTGGTTGGAACATGGCATGATAAGTGTTTCTTAAAAATAAAAAATAAAAAAATAAAAAAATGAGAAAAAAAAACCCTCGTCTTCTCGGTGTTTTATAAATATGCAGTTGTAGACTTTGTAAGTTCAACATCCAATTCATCATCAGTTTGTCTTTTGATCTCTCTCGTTCACCACTTTATTCCCATGTTATTGATCATAGCTCCATTTCAGCTCTTACTTTCCATTTATTATTCAGAAAATCTTCTTTCCATTTCTGTTGCTTCTCTGTTCAATCTTTCCAATTAAGATACTATCAGTTTGGTCACCTTCAACCTTCAGAACTCTGTTCCTTTCTCACCATATCCCTTGTTTTTCTCTCAATCCTTTTGAGTGTTCATCTTTTGCTGTTCTATTCCATTAATTCTACTCTTCAGTTCATCTTTCACCTTCATCACATCAACATTTCCTCGCACGAAACTCTGTTTGCTTTGCCTGTTTCCTGATTCCCTGTTTCCCTTTCCCATCCACCATTCTCCCTGAAGATTCTTAAACAGCAAAAGATGGACCCCACCCTCATCGTCGATTACATTAATTCCTCGTTAGTCGATTTGGACTTTCTGGTGAAACGTTGCTCCGATCATCAAGATGCCCAAACTTTAACGAAGCTGAGGTTTGGGTTAAGGAACCTCGAAACCTTTGTTCTTGCTGCCAGAATGTTGGGCAAAGCTGTAAACCTGGAATCTTTCTTGTCTGGCATTGAGGATATTGTTCGTGAGAAAGCGGCGGACATAAACGATCTTTCTCTCAATCCGGGTGCCAATTTGGATTTGAGTGTAGCTTCTGAGTTCCAAAAGGACATTCAGTCTTTGGAACAAGAAATGGATGAATGGTACGCCACTATGCTGGATTCCTCATCCCAATCATCAAGCTCCCTCGAGGAAAAACAAGTGTTGGAAATCATCACTTCCATTGTGGAGAATCTATTGGATATTCACTCTTTGGAACCCAAAGAGGGATTCCACTTTCAAATTCTTGAAGAAGCAATGGAAGCCTTGGCAGAGCAGTTTCGATTCTTGAAAACTCTCCTGGGCTTTACTTCAAATGGGAATGATGAATCCAGACAAGATTTATTGTCTCATGCTGAACTTGTTACCATGGATGCTGCATATCTCCTTTTCACCTTTGGAAACCTCGAAAAGTTCGATGAAGAAAGTTGCAACCCGATGAATGTCAACGTTTCGAAATTGCTGCAGCAGATCAAGCCTACTGATGCTCAGGTTTATGAGACTTACATTCAAGCCTTGAGTAGCACACAGTTGCCCACCTTTATTGCAATGAAGAGTTTCCTCGATTCACTCATATCTAATCTTTGGGAGCTGTTGGTGTTGAACACTGATGATCTTGTTGTTTCGATGAAGGATCAACTGCGAGAACTTTATGAATGTCTTAGATCCCTGAGATCGATTCTCAAGGAATCAACAGAAGGCGTTAAGGCAGATATTGGAGGTGTGGTACGTGATGCCGGAATCCTAATTTGCTCATTGTACCAGAATCGCATAGATGGAGGAGACCTTGGTCTCCGAAATCTGTTAGAAGGAATCAATACCGTTCTAGCGAAATCTGGAAGGAAAGATCCAGAAGAACCAACAATGTTCAACTTTCCAAGGACGAATCAATTGGGTTATGTGGATTTCGTATTAGAAAAACTGATAGAGATATCAATAAGTGATGTAGCTGAACCAACTGCCAAGAGTTGCCTTCAAACTATCGAGGAAGAGCTTAGTTTCTTAAGGTCTTTCTTGGAGGTCATTGTGGATATGCGCCATCAACAGGTGGAACTCCGGAGTATCTGGGATCGTTCTCTGGAGATGGCGCAAAAGGTGGAGGATCTCATTGACCACCTGGTGGTCGGAGTTAGTTTTCCAGCGTCGTTTGCTTCCATCACCGAAGACCTGGAGAACATTAAGGGGGATATGGTGAAGATTTCTAACCAGAAGCGACCCGAAATCAAAGAGAAGGAAGCAGCCAAGGCTCAGATCAGTTCCATACCCCAACAGATAAGTCCATCAACAACAACTGAAGTTGTAGGTTTGGACAAGGAGGCGGCATCAATCAAGGACCGACTCCTGAGAGGATCTCCTCAACTGCAGGTCATCTATATTACGGGTATGCCCGGACTGGGCAAAACCACTCTGGCGGCAAAAGTGTACAATGATCCATCCCTTTTGTACCACTTTGACCTTCGTGCTTGGTCTCCAATCTCCCAAGTAGTGGACAGAAGGAGAGTGTTGCTAGAGCTCTTAAACCAGGTCAATCCTCAGAGATACGCTGAGCTGACTGAGCTAGATTTGGCAGAAAAGCTTCGTCGCACCCTGAAAATGAGAAGATATCTTATTTTTTTGGATGATGTGTGGGATATCGAGGCATGGAATGGCTTAGGATTCACATTCCCTGATGATAAGATGGGCAGCAGAATCATTCTGACGAGTCGTCATAAGGATGTTGCTCCTCCTTATCTGCTCGACAAACCTGCCCTCTCTCTTGAACCGCTGAATGAGGAAAACAGCCTCAAATTGTTGCAGACGAGGTTATTTCCTGAAACAAGTTGGCCTCGTACGTTACATGTTCTTGGGATGGAAATCGCTAAAAGCTGCAAGGGGTTGCCCCTGACTCTTGTCATTGTAGCTGGGCTTCTCGCGAACACAGACCAAAAGGAGTGGAAGCAAATCTCTGATCGTCTAAGCACGGGTGATGTTGAGATTATTAAACATTGCACAAACACATTAGAGCTCAGTTACAAACATTTGCCGGAGAAGTTAAGGCCATGCTTGCTGTATTTTGGAGCATTTCAAGAAGATCAGGAGATTTCGGTCAATAGATTAGTTCGCTTGTGGGCTGCTGAAGGATTCATCCGGAAGCCAGATGCGAGCAAGAGAGTGGTAGATGTTGCTGAAGAGTACTTGCAAGATTTAATTGGGAGAAGTTTGATCATGGTTGTCAAACAAAATTACACTAAAAGAGTAAAATCCTGTCGTATTCATGATCTGCTTCATGATTTTTGCTCGCAGAAGGCCAAAGAAGAACGTCTCTTCCATTTTCTGAGAGAGCATGATGAGCTGTTAGAATTCAACGAGCCACGATACCTCCGGCGGCTATGCATTCAATCAGAGGCAGAGCATTTCAAAGATTCTAAATTATTTTGTCCTCGTGCGCGTTCTCTCCTCATCAACTTTTCGCAAAAAGCAGGAGGCGAAGACGATGGGATGAGACTGAATATCTCAGTCATGATCAACATGTTCAAACTCTTGAGGGTGTTGGACTTGGAGAGGATTGATGTCGGCTCACGATTTCCAAGTGAGATAGAGATGCTTGTTCAGTTGGTCTTCCTGGCGATTCGAGGCAAGATGAGGCACGTTCCATCTTCGATAGGTAAGCTCTCAAATTTGGAAACCTTTATTGTGGTTGCAGGAGCGGAGATGGTTTCACTGCCAGAGAATCTGTGGAATCTAAGCAAACTAAAGTATCTTTGCATTAAGGGCGACTCTGGTGATGTTGGTAGTAGTTTGCCCTTGGAGAATCTTGACGATCCATCCACTTTGTGGGAATTGGATAGGTTTTCTGGTGTGATCATTCCTCACTGGGAGATGGAAAGGCTGATGAGAAAGTTTCCAAAAGTCCGCAGGCTAAAATGCAAATTTCAATTTAAGCTGGATGCAAAGAGTCGGCAAACGGTTGCAGTTCTTGATTTCAAGAGTCAATCTGAACTGGAGTCGCTGGATATGTCTTTTCATGAGAAGCGTATTCCGCGAAACTTTAAGTTTGACATCAGTCTGCCTGACAACCTCAGAAAAGTGACCTTGTCACGCATTCCTTTGCCTTGGACGAATCTTTCGACCATCGGTCAACTTCAAAACCTGAAGGTCCTCAAACTTATCTATATATCCTTCGAAGGGGAAGAATGGCAAATGAAAGACGGGGAATTCTCGAACCTTGAAATCTTGAAGCTATCTTCTTGGGAGCTTGTCAGGTGGACAGCTTGTGAAGATCAGTTTGCTTGGTTGACGAAGTTGGAATTGGAGGGTTGTAGACGGTTGGAAAAGATGCCTGGTTGTTTACCCAGCACCGAGACACTTGAAACAATTGAGGTCTCCGATTGTTGTCAGACTGTTGTTGATTTGGTGAAAAAGATTGAGAGGGAGAAGAAGGAGTGGGGAGATGATGGATTTAAAATCAGAGTAGGCCGGATTTGGGAAGATCCGCGGAAGAGGAATAAGTGAACTGAGGAAGCTCCGGTTTCACTTCCATCGTCACAGCTGTGGGATTGTTTCTTCACATCTTCTTTCGATTCTTGATGTTTATTTTAATTTGAGTTTACTACTGCTGTCAGTACTAGCAAATGTTGTTGCAATAATACTGTCTGTAATTCGTGTTAATGAATCTGAATTCTGGAATTTTACTTCAATTCAATAAATGATGGTCAGTATAAATTTCTGATCAGCCACATGTGACGCCAATGTGATTACTTATGCTTTGGCAAAAATTGCTAGTTCACTAGTGTTTTAAATCAATTGACTAACTCACTCCGTTGACTCCCTAAGGCCAACTATTAAATCGACGAGATTCAAAATTTCCTCCTTCGGTTTATTTCCTCAACTTCCATATCTCGAGGATAGCTGCGACAAAACTGAAATTAAACATTCCATCAAACTCTCTTGTTGACCAGTATAACAATTGCCTATTTCGTCCGCTTTTTCGTCGCGTTGCCCAGTTGGATGGGGAATATGTTCTGCAACTTTTGTCTTGTCGCCATGCTTGTTGGACACTGAACGTCAAAACAAAGTCGACGAGGAGTCTATTAAGGAATTTTGAATCCCGTCGACATGGTTGTCGAGTTGTGCAAGTTATTTTTATCTTGGAATTTGGATCTCGTTGGTGTTTGTGGGAGGTACAGAGAGAATTCACTAGATAGAAGCTAACAAAGAAAGCAGCTGAGATTAATTCCTGAGAATTCTCATCCTCTTTGCCACACATAGGCACATAGCCATTTGGCCATTTCGAACCCTCGAGAGATTTGTTGATTCATGCCGAATCTTGTTGTGATTGATGCTGCATTTCTCCTTTCTAGGACTGCTATAAACAAGTCCGGGGATAAAAGTTTTGAAGAAGAGTAGTTACTGTCCAAGAAGAGTTCAGCATTGGTGTAAAAGATAAAGCAGATTGATCCTCCGGTCTACAAAACTTATATTGACACTCTGCACCACAAAGTTGGCCGGAAAAATTAGCTGTCATTGCAGCGAAAAATGTCCTCTTAGTCTGTCCTAACTATTCTTTGGGTTGTGCTAACAGGGGATACTCCTGTTGTTTTTACGGTTAACACACCACAAAGCATAAAGTGGATCATTTTGTGACTGTTGTCCAGTAGTTCCTCTCGTGGTGCCACAAGAAGAGCCGTCAGAGATGCGAGCTCTACTCAATTGTGAAATTCCAACTTTTTGTTAGATAAATCGATGGATCTGACGAGCAGTAATGTTGAACCAACAGCTAAGAACCGTGCACAATGAAGATAGTATTTTGCTTGCTTTTTCCCGGGATGTTAAATCTGTACAATTTCAATTCCTTTTATACCACAAATAGTGTCTTTTTTTTTTTGGCGGAATAATGTCACATTAAAATGCAGAACGTCATCAAAATTTTCACTTCCTATTGTGTATGAATGTCACGGGGTTTAAATTTGGTAATGACATAATAAATAATAAAATTTTAAGAAATGTTTTTAGAACAAATAGGAAATTTTAAGTAGGGAGATGAATATTACAATTCGTGAGATTAGTAATTTACGTATACTTTCGAGATTAAGGGGTGAAATTTTATACATGTAAAAATATAATTTTTTTTAACCAAATGGGTTGATTTTATGCAGGCTATGGATATTATAATCGTAGTATTAATCGGAATTCCCAATTTTAAGGGGAGAAATTAATACTCCTTCCTTTCAAGAATTATTGTCCAGTTTGGATTTTCATTTTTAGTTCAAATTATATTAAAAGTGAAATCTCAAACTAGACAAGCTGGGTAGAAAAATTAATTAGTAAAATTAGGAAGAGTTAATATTTTTTGGCGGGAAAACAAAGTACAAGAGCACAGACACGTCAAATCGTCAATAAGAATTATCTCTTGGACAATTATTTTAATAAAATAAAATATTGATATTCATTGATTTTATTTTGCTTTCGTTCGAACCATCTCCTAAAAAATTGATATTCATTGATTTTATTTTACTTTCGTTCGAACCATCTCCTAAAAACTGGAAGAAATCATGTCGGTATTGATTTTTTAATCATAATGATTTCGTAATTATTGTATTTTTATTAATTGCATAATTTTGATGTTTTGGAAGAATTTTAACACCAAAAAAAATTCCATAATTACGGTCACTTTTAGGTTGGGTGAGTGGCTGTTTGCTTGAAACGAATCATTAAGAAATAAGTGAAGTGTGGAAGGATTTTGTTCTGAAAAGAATATATTCTGTGATTATGTATTATCATTAATTGAATATTAACAACAGTATATTAGGTAAAATTGCAAAACCAGAGGCCATTCTATACTTTAGGGACTTATCATTGTTTTTCCTAAAATAAGTAAAGTATGGGAAGGATTACTTTTTTTTAAAAAAAAAAAAGAAATGAATTCCATATTTATTTGTTATTGTGAATTTTATGGTATTGTTATTGTCAAAGCAGAAATTAGCATCCAAAACATGCAATTTATCCAGTATACCTGAAAGCACCATGCTCCCCTCCTCATTTCCCTAAATAGACCCCAAAAAAAAATCGGAAGAAATCTTTATTTTAATTATTTTTTTGTGGTCCTGAAAACATGTGTCGGAAATGCATTTTCTGTTTTTTTAACTATAATTTAAAAAACGGAATTTCAATATCCGTTTCGTTGTTTTAATTTTTAAAATAATTAAAACTGAAAAAAAACAATTTTGCTCAGAATAAAAAGATAGGAAATATCGAGAAAAAAGTTAAACGGAAATTGAAATTCCGTTTTCTTATCAACCAAAAAACAGAAGACTCAATTCCATTTTTCGTGTCATCCAAAAAACGGAAAACGGCATTCCGTTTTCCTGTTATCAGGTTGTCAGCCGCATTATTGGTCTGACACTGATAATATGTACGAATCACTGGTGTTGCAGGCTTTAATGAAGAAAACGGAATTGTAAAATCCGTTTTTAGGTTTATATATGAAGAAGAATTGACACTGTTACCAGATCTGGAAAGTTTGGGGGGGGGGGAATTTTCTCACTACTGTAACATAATTAATAGTATATCTGTCTATGAGATTTTGTAGGGTAAATTATTTTATATTTATTGTAAAGGAGGATTACGTAGTGTCTTCCATTTCTTGGATATCTGGTTTTAACTCTCCCCTCTCTCTCTCTCTCTCTCTTTTTAAACTCTCATCTCTCTCTATTCTCTCTATATCTATTCTATTCCCTCCGTCCCATAATTATTGTCCACTTTGCCCAAAAAATTTTGTCCCAAAATTATTGTCCAATTTGACTTTTTATGGATCAAGTTACACATTTGTCCTTAGTAAAAAATATTATCCATAAAATCTTAGTGGTTAAACAATTACTTGTGTAGGGGTATATCCGGTTGTTTAAGGTAAAATATAATTAAATTTGACTAAAAATAAAATCTTTCATTTTAGTAAAACTGGACAATAATTATGGGACGGAGGGAGTATAATTTAAACATTCTTCTTAAGATACAATGGTCAAAATAATGTCAAGAAATTTTGAACCTTTAATCAATTTTCCATACGGTTGTTTCACAGGGTGGAGGGAAAAAGGAGCCAGAAGGAGAGCAGGAGAATGTGATAGGTTTTGATGATGCAACCAAGCAGTGCAAGGACTCTTGACCGAGGGGCCTGAAGAACTGGAAGTAGTCACCATAGTTGGAACGTTAGGGCTTGGGAAAACCACACTTGCTACAAAAGTTTCCAAGGACCCAAAGGTTGATTATGAGTTCATGATTCAAAAATTTGTTTATGTTTCGAAAGAATACAAGAAGAAGGAAGTGTTACACAAAATTTTGGAGTCTGTACCAGATCCCACCGAACATGCGAGTAAGGAAGAAAAAGATTTAGAAAAACTAGTTTGTCAAGAGTTGAGTGGGAAACAATATTTGATCGTGTTAGATGATATTTGGGAACCAGCAGATTGGGATAACTTGAAAGGCGCTTTTCCGAAGAACAACAAGCGTTGTAGAGTTCTAATAACTACTCGCCATAAAACAGTGGCAAAACGGGCAAATCCAAACAAAGATCCTTATGAGTTGCAGTTTTTGCCAATGGACAAGAGTCTAGAGCTTCTGGATTGGAAGATTTTTAAGGGAAACAAGTGCCCACAGCATTTACAAGATTTCGAGACAAAAATTGCAGAAAAATGTGATGGGTTGCCTTTGGCATTAGTGGTTCTTGCTGGTATCCTTGTTAATGATCCAGATAGCGTGGAATTGTGGAGCACTGTGGCAGATAGTGTAAAAGATTACATTGCCAAAAAAATGACAGAAACTGGCAAGGTGTTAGGGCTTATGTATAAATACTTGCCAAACGAGTTGAAGTTGTGCTTCCTATATCTTGGACTGTTCCGTGAAGATTTTGAGATTCCAGTTTGGAAACTAGTACGTTTATGGATTGCAGAAGGGCTCATTCAGAAGGATGGAGGCCATAATTTAGAATTTGTTGCAGAGAAATTTGTGGAAGAGCTTGTGAGTAGAAACTTGGTGATGGTTGGAAAGAGGAGGTCCAATGGAAAGATTCAAACTTGTCGTATGCATGATACGTTGCGAGATTTTTGTAAGACTGCAGCTGAAGAAGAAAACCTTTTTGAAGAAATCACTGAGAAGAATCTCAATGTGTTTCTGTCAGGGGACCCAACAAAGTTGGACAAATATCGCCGTATCTGCATAAATAACATCAGTGTTAAGGACTATCTCTCCTCAAAAAGCCTATATGGTAAGCATGTTCGTTCTTTCTTAACCTTTGTTGATCAAGAAACACTCTTAGATCTAAAATGTGGACCTCAAATCCCCAAAACCTTCAAACTCAGAGTTTTAGAGGCCGAATCGCTCATCTTCCAACGTTATCCTATTGATATGCCAACCCTCATACTCCTGAAATACCTAGCCATCTCTGTGACCTTTGAAAATCTTCCTGAATCAATGTCTGGCCTGAGGAACCTGGAAACTCTTATAGTACGTACTACAAATAGTCCTAACCTCAGCATAAAATGGGACATATGGAAGAAGATGCCACAATTCAAGCATTTGTGTGAATTCAAGCATTTGCACACAAATGCTTCCACGACTTTTCCATCTCCTTCATGTGGACGGGACCAGAACGGAGGTGGAGAAATCCAAACCCTTTCCACCATTGACAAGCCGTCGTCACATTAGTCAAATATTAATTACCTACTTAATACAATTACTAGTAATAAAGCAGAAA